CAGGCAGCACGAGGAATTGAGGCAGGCTGAGCTTCATCAGGCACGCTGAGCTCTCCTTCCCCATCCCAGACAAACAGGGAAGGGGTACTGTTTGGTTTGCCAGATCTGATCTTTGCCATCCAGACAGCTCTTACCAAAGGCAATTCCTACCTGCTGCAGCCCTTGGCACTGCTGGTGCTTTACACTCTCAGCCTGAGGACTGGAGATAGATTCCCTGAGCATTGTGTCAGACACACACACTCTCACACGTGCATGCCAACAGCATTTCCAGCATCCCTGGAGGCAGGCTAGACCCAAAGGAGGTGATAATTTGGCAGTCCTGAATATGGCCTTGACCCACAAACATCAGCAGAGCAATGAACCCAAGCTCAGAGTTGCACTTTGGAGGCAATATACCTCCTTGGTGGCACAGCAACACCAAAAATAGGTTTGTCTCCACAGTACCATGCTGTAAGTTCAAACCCCAAATTTCTCATGCACCAGAAAGGGCAGGGCAGGTGTGAGAAAGTCTGGCACACCGTGCAGCCAGAAGCAGACCCCTGAAGCAGGATTTGGGGAGCCCTGACTATGCTGCCAAGCCAGTGGAGCAGGGGGTCTTACCGGAGATCTCCAGTGTGCTTGCGCATGTGGACGTTCAGGTAATGCTTCCACTTGGTGATGTACCCGCACTCGGTGCACATGAAGTTCTTGTCATTGGAGTGGGTCAGCATGTGCTTGGACAGGTAGCTCACATCCCGGCACGTGAAGTTGCAGAGCTCACACTTGTGAGGTTTCTCTCCTACATGGCAAGACACAAATGCCTTCAGCATGACAGCCAGATAAAGCAACATGGCAGGGAAACCAGCTCAGCAGGGAGAATGCAACAACTTCAGCCAAGTGATCCTGGGCTGGCAAAGCTGGTGGTGGGACCCAGGAGCTCTGACCCAGCCCTCCCTGCCCACCCAGAGGCAGGACAAGACACCTTCCCCATCCCAGCTCAGCTTTTGGGACTGCTACAGGGGACACCCACCAGTGTGCAACAGCATGTGCCGGATGAGCACCCGCTTGTGCGCTGTGGCGAAGGCACACTCGGTGCACTTGTGGATCTTCTCGTTGGCGTGCATCTTGCCCACATGGTCATGAAACTCCACAGGGTTGAAAGTGGCATAGGGGCAGAAACTGCACTGGAGCTGCTCGCTGCCCGGGTGGCCTTGTTTCTTGTGCTTGCGGAAAACATGCTTGTTGGAGCAGATGAAGTCACACTGCTGGCAGTGGAAGGCGTAGTGGGTTTTCCGGTGAGCCTCCATGGCCTCAGCTGTGCCGAAGAGCAGCGAGCAGGCATGGTACTTGCACTCCACTGCCTTGATGCCATGAGCATCCTTGAGGTGACGGACAAACTCCTTACGGTCCTCTGCACAGTAGTTGCAGTCCCCGTGGAAGCAGCTCAGCCTCTTGGGCTCAGTTTTGTGAGTCTTCAAGTGCTCCTTGAGGGCCTGGCTGAGCCGAAACTTCTCCTCACAGACTGGGCAGGAGTAAACATCGGAGTAGAAGTTGGAGATGTCCTCATGCATGCTGGCCATGTGGCGGTTGAGAGCATTCTTCTCCACTGAGCTGTAGTGGCAGAGTGGGCAGCGATGAGCCTTCTCGCCTGTCTCCCGCATCATGTGGATTTTCAGCTTGCTTTTGCTGGTGAAGTACTTGTGGCAGTTGGGGCACTGCAGGCTGGGGTCAGGGAAGTGCAGGTGAAGGTGCTCTACCAGGTGGGTCCGCTTTTTGAAGCATCGCTTGCATTCGGGGCACATGTGGGTTTTGTAGAGGTACTCAGAGCCTTCTGCAATATCCCCTGGGGGAAAAAGGAGGGGGAGCAGTTAATAGGGAAAAGATGGAGAGCACAGGCAGATGTTCTGTCCCTGATCCAGTTGTGCCAGGATGAGGATTTATACACATGGGTAGTCACACAGCCATCACCTACTCAGAGAGACTGTACCCACCCCAAGCCACCAGCATGTTCAGATGAGTTCTTTCCAACTCAGCACTGGCAATGCACAGCCTACATCAGGCCTGCCCCTGGTCCCCAAACCCAGGTAAGACCTTTGCCTAAACTTGGCAGGATGTGTAACAGGAAAAGAAGAGACATATTTGCTTGGGCAGTGGTTGGGGGAACAAGTGCACTGGTACATGCAGGAAATGTGAGGTCACCCACCAACCTGGGCCACATTTCCCTGCCAGCCTTAAAGATGTAGTGCTTGTTCACAAAGCCTGAGCTGCTCCTGGTAAGGCCCTGCATCCTACCTTTGAAGCGCTGTGCCTGTGGCACTCCAACTTTTTTAGGAGCTGCCTTCCCATCCTCTTTGGCCTCGGCTTCGCAGAGGCTCTCACCATCCTCCTCTGGTGACTCCTCCCCACTGCTGTCTGAGTCCTCTTCTCCAGCTGATGCTTTCTGTCCCTTCAAGGAGCTGTCCCCAGTACCTCCAGGCTTTGCTGGCCTGGCTTCTGCTGTACTGGCTTTCCAGCCAGGGTGGGAATCACCTGGTTCCTCCGGCCCTCCTGATGCTGCTTCAGTGGGGAAAGACAAGAGATCATCATGTTCCATGCAAGAGAAAACCACCCTCATACACCCACACACATGCAGAAAAAACACCTGGCTGAGATGGAGGGCACAAACTGTGCTGCAAGGAGGCACAAACGCAGGGTTCCCTGCCCTCCAGCTTCACCCCGCCTCCTCCAGTTGTAACTGGGATGCACAGACACAGCCAGGCTCTGCAGCACCCACAGGCCCCAACCCCTCACCCAGCCATACCTGATGGCAGGATGCAGCACTGGTCAAGGCTGTGGGGGTCGCCTGTTGTGGGCATCTCAGAAGGGGACTCTGTGGCATGACCCTTCCTGTGCTGCCAGAAGAGCTTGGCGTTGGCTGTGACGAAGTCGCAGTGGCCGCAGTGGAAGGGGAAGTGTGTCCGGTGGTGCTGCTCCATGGCCTGGCGGCTGGGGAAGAGCAGCGGGCAGGCCCGGCAGGCGCAGGACACGGGGGAGGCCCCGTGCAGGTGGCACAGATGACTGCGCAGTTGCTTGCGGTCCTCTGTGGTGAAGTGGCAGCCCCCCTCGGGACAGGGCAGGGCTCCTGATGGGGCACGGTGGGTCTTGAAGTGCTCCTTGAGTTGGCCAGGCTGCAAAAACGCCTCCTGGCAGACGGGGCATAGCAGGCACTCGGGAGCAGAGCCCTCCTGTGTGCTGGCTCCGGGCAGCTCTGAGCCCCTGGGATCCCTCTGGCCCTCGCTGGCAGAAGCCAACAGTGCCCCTGGGAATTCCAGGTGCTCTTGTGGGGGCAGCAGCAGGCACTGGTGCTGGGACAGCAGGGAGGCCTCTGAGAAGCTGTGGCCACACCTCTCACAAAAGTACAGCTCCACCACTTTCACCAGAACCTCTGCAGAGAGCAAGGGATGAGTGTAAGAAGGAGCTTTTTAAAGACCCAGAGCTTGGGACTGGTGGTTCAGTTCCAGCTCTGGACAAGAAGAATAAATCCCTCTTGCCACAAATTACATTTTGGGAACCATATCCCCTATAAGAGGGGAAATACCACCATCCAGGTGGACATGATAACCAGTTCTGTCCCTCTGCACTTTGAAGCATGCAGAGATGAGAGACTGGCCTGGCCCCATTCCCGTTAGGATGTCCAATGCCCACACCGGACCCACATGGGAAGCATGCTAGGGGGTAATAGTTTAGGTGGAGATCTCTGCCTGGTCCCTGCTGATAGCCTGGAGCAACCCCCTCATGCAGCATGCAACTCCCACACTCTCCCCATCCATATACCCAGCTGGTGCCAGGTCTGTGCTCAATGGGTAGCACCAGACACACGATGCAGGGTCAGAGATCTGAGGGCACCTGGGATAGGGACCCTGGCCAGACCTCTCTAGCTCTGCTGACTGCAGTGGGGTCCATTTTGCACTCCCTGCTCCCCATACCTGTGGCACTGGCCGTGCTGCTCAGTGTCACATTGCCAGCCACTGTCTCGATGAATATTTCCACATCGCTTCCTTCAGCGTGTGCCCCTTCCCCCGGCATCGATGCCTCTGTCAGCAGCAAGTCCTGGCTGGCAGCCAGCGGGGGTGTCCCAGCCAGACCAGCGCTGGCCACACCAGGGCTTCCCACGGCTCCCACCTCTCCCGGTGTGGGCAGGAGCAGCTCCGAGCACAGGGTCTCCATCTCCCTGCTGGCACCCTCTGATACAGTCACTGCTGCGCTCATTGCCACTGGGCACTTCCTTGGTGCTGGGCTGGATGACCTCTCAATCTGAAACAGAAGAAGAAAGCACTTTAAATGAGGGACATCCCAGAGCCCAAGAGAATTTTGGGGAGCAGCCAGTCTCGAGGCAGGGTATTTCAACGCTGGCTCCTTTCTGCTGTGCCTCAAGCAGGCTGCTGGCAAGCCCTCTGTCACGGGGTAAACAAGAGTGCAAGGACAGCTATACGTTCTCCCCGAGCCTAACACCCAGGGCTTGCTCCCTGTGTCCAGCTGGGCCGGCCCTTGAGCCCACCCTCAGAGCCATGCCCAGCCTCCAGCCAGCAGGTGCCCCCACGAGTCCCGCCGGGCCGGGCTCCCCCCCCCGGCCCCTCGCCTTTCACACCCGGGCTGTCCCCGGCCCTCCCAGCCCCTCACCCCGGGCTGTCCCCGGCCCTCCCAGCCCCTCACCCCGGGCTGTCCCCGGCCCTCCCAGCCCCTCACCCCGGGCTGTCCCCGGCCCTCCCAACCCCTCACCCCGGGCTGTCCCCGGCCCCTCGCCTTTCACCCCAGGCTGTCCCCGGGTGCCGCAGCCTCTCTCCCTTACGCAGGGCTGTCACCGAAGCGCCCTCAGCCCGGGCTGTCCCCGCCGGCCCGGGTCGCGCTGCCCCGGCACATCTCGGCGGCGGTGCCGGGCGGCGAGAGCGCCGCCCTTTGTGCGTGCGCGCAGCCGCTGTGCCCGGCCCGGCCCGGCGGTGCGGCCGGAAGCGGCGCGGGCGGCGGCGGAAGCGGCGCGGTGCAGGTGAGCGGCGGCGCCGGCCGGAGCGGGGCCGGGAGCGGCGCGGGATCCTCCGGAGTGCCCGGGGCTGGGCCTCTGCTGCGGGGAAGGCCGGTGTGGATACGGGTCTTTTGCGGGGGAGGGTGGGGCCCCTGCAGGGGGAGGCTGCGGGACCCTGCCCGCGGGGTGCCCTGGTAAGGAGGAAGGTCACGCCTTATTCTAGTGGAGGTGGGGTTGTGTACCCGAGAGAGCGGAGCGTGGCTGTGCGTCTGGCGGGGAAGGCTCCCCCTCGATCCCAGTACACGACAGACCTGCGGAGGGAGGTGGAGAAGCTTCAGGCCCCCGGAGCATGCGGCTAATAATCTACACATGGAGGTGTGTCTTCTACCACCGTCGTGTGCCCGTTCTCGGCAGCAAAGACCCGGCTCTTGACTCAGCCTGGGCATGTGTTTCAGCTTTTTCAAACGATAAACCTTAAATAATTGCAGTGCTCATGATTTCTAGCTGTTCAAATAATAAAACTCTGTAAAACTCTGGCCTTGTTGTTTTTACTGAGGAAGCTACAGATGCTTCTGTGCTTCTTCAAGAGCCTCCTGACCCCCTCCTGCTTGGCTCACTCAGTGGCCTGCAGAGAGGGAGGATTCCTGCAGTCAGCAGGAACACTTGGTAATAAGCACAGATGTGGGAAATCCAAACGTGCCAGGCAGCCCTTCACCTTGAGGCCTGGCCATCATAAATGACAGGGAACTGTGGGCAATCTGTTTTGTTCCTTGCTACCATTCATTCTTTCCTCACAGGTTTGTTGCCAGAGTGCAGAAACAATGCTGTGGAAAGGAGCTGCCTAACCTCCCACAATGCCCTTTTCTGACTTTGTCTTAGCACTGAAGGACAACCCATATTTCGGGGCTGGGTTTGGCCTCGTCGGGGTGGGCACAGTCCTGGCAGCAGCCCGTAAGGGGGCCCAGTTTGGGCTGGTGGCTTTCAGGCGCCACTATATGATCACCTTGGAGGTGCCCAGCAAGGATAAGAGCTACCAGTGGCTGCTGAACTGGGTCTCCCACCATGCCAAGCATACGCAGCACCTCAGTGTTGAGACATCATACCTGCAGCATGAGAGCGGGCGTGTCAGCACCAAGTTCGACTTTATTCCCAGCCTCGGGAATCATTTCATCTGGTAAGGGAGGGTAGGGGAAAGCAGTTTGGGGGATTGATCCTCCCTTTTGCAAACTGGGGCGGGGGGGGGGGCTGTAGAGACACTGGAGAGGGCCCTGCTTCCTCTCTGGGTCTGGGATAGGGCAGAAGATGACGAGTAGCAAGAGCAGCCTGTATTCAGCAGTGTGAAATTATTTCCTTACATGAGATGTGTTCTTGAGGCATGAACCAGGTGAGGCACAGCTGAGTGGTGCTGGATCACTGTACACCCACCTGTCTTCCTGCCCCAGGTACCGCAGGAAGTGGATTCGCATCGAGCGCAGCCGGGAGACGCAGATGCTTGACCTGAACACAGGGACCCCCTGGGAGTCTGTCACCTTCACTGCACTGGGCACTGACCGCGAGATCTTCTTCAATATCCTTCAGGAAGGTCTGTAGGGCAACTATGTGGGGTCCTACTGGGAACAACCTTCTCCCTAGAGGTCCTCTTCCCTGGCAGCTGTCCCCTCTGCCTCTCTCTGCAGCCCGGGAGCTGGCGCTGCAGCAGCAGGAGGGGAGGACGATCATGTACACGGCCGTGGGAGCAGAGTGGCGTCAGTTCGGCTTCCCCCGCCGCCGGCGGCCCCTCAGCTCTGTGGTGCTGGAGGAAGGTGTGTCAGAGAGGCTGGTTCAGGACGTGAAGGAGTTCATCAGCAACCCCAAGTGGTACAGTGAAAGAGGCAAGGCTCTGGTGTGGTGTGCTCTGTACGGGGTGGGGTGGGGCAGGATGCTCATGGTCCTTTCTGGAATTGGCTGTGGAGAAATTTTTCCCTGCTGTTTACCTTCCCCAGGTGTATCCTCTTTGTGTGCTCAGCACAGAACTACAGGAGGGAGGGATCACAGAGCAATCCAGGTGGTTATCCTAAAAGAACACTGTCTTTTTAGGGATCCCCTACCGAAGAGGTTACCTGCTTTATGGTCCTCCAGGATGTGGGAAAAGCAGCTTCATGTGAGTATTGTCAGCTCCCTGGTCTGGGCCACAGCAGTCTTGGATGAGAGGGTTGGAATACGGGAGTGGGCTGTGCCTTATGTGTGGTGCCTATTGTAAGCATTTGCACTACTGGCACTGTGACAGGTCAGGGTGACAAGCCCTTTGTGCCCTTGCTTTGCACAGTGCTGCCTCCTATGTATGGGTGGGCTGAACAGGGGCTTCTGCCTGCCCCTGATCCTTGCTGGGAGAGGACCCCTCTGCCCTGTCCCTTACTGCTAAGGGGAGAAATCTGGTTTTTCCTTGATTGCGGGCTTTCCCACTGTGATACATCCATGTGTTTTGTGTCCTTTCCAGCACAGCCCTGGCTGGGGAACTGGAGTACAGTATCTGCCTGCTGAGCCTCAGTGACCACAGCCTCTCTGATGACCGGCTCAATCACCTCCTGAGTGTAGCACCGCAGCAGAGCATCATCCTGCTGGAGGATGTGGATGCTGCCTTCGTCAGCCGGGACCTTGCTGCTGAGAGTGAGCACTGCCCCTGTTCCTGGGCCAGCAGCAGGAGGGAGGTTCTGTGGCTGTACCTGGAAAATGTTTGGACTCTGGGCTGCTCAACTGCACCAGCAGAGACCAGGAGTGGGGGAATCTCTCAGGCCTCAGGGCCCAAACTGGAACTTAACCAGTTTCGGCTAGGCTGTAAAAGGGAATTTGGATCCTTTTTCCTCAGGCAAAGGTCCTTCTCCTGCCCAGCTACTTTCAGGATGATGGAGAAGGTGGCTTTCCTTCTCATTCTCTATGTTCCCATGGGTGTGTGTGGGCAGGGGAGGTGAATGTGCTGCCAGCCAGGCAGAGGGTCAGCCTCCAAGCAAGGAGTGAGTGGGGAGCTTGGCATAAGCCTCAGGTGATAGGTAGGTGGCCCACAAGCCTGTGCAGGGTTAGTGGCCAACAGCTGCAATCTCAGACACCTCTGTTCCCAGACCCGGCTGTGTACCAAGGCATGGGGCGCCTGACCTTCAGTGGTCTCCTCAATGCTCTGGACGGTGTGGCCTCCACAGAAGCCAGGATTGTCTTCATGACCACCAACTACGTGGACAGGTCAGAGCTGCTGCTGGGAGGGCGCGGGGTGGGTAGCACAGGAAAATCTTGCTCCCTTTTGCTGGGCTTTATTTATTCAGTCCTCCAGCATGAAGACTGGGCATTCAGGTTTCCTACATCCTCCCTTGGGATGCAAATCCTTTGATTGTTGATCAGGACCCCTTTTGCTGGAGCCTCAGATGCCTACTTGCTGTTCAGAACATAGTTGTGTCTTTCAGGAGTGGTACCAGCTTCCTGCCTGTGGGGACCTGCAAGTTTTGGGGTTGTGTCCATGCTGTGAGTGAAGCGCTAGCCCCACGTGCAGCCCACTGGGTTGGTGGGATGCAGCCTGGGCTCACGGTGCCTGGACAGCTGCTGTGCTGTGGCAGGCTTGATTCACTCCAGACCGAGCTGGCCTAGGGGTTTCTTCAGAGGTTGCTTATGGGACAGAGATGGGCAGAGCTGTTTCCCAGGACATTCTTATCCTCCTTTCGAGTCAGTCCTTCCCCAGCTCTCTCCTTTTTTTTTTGGGTTGATTTGTCCCCTCAGTCTCCCCAGGGATGAACCTGTTTGCCCTCTTACCATCTCACAGTGCATGGCACTTTGCAGAAAGGACAGGGGCTTCCTGCAGGACACACCCTGAACAGATGCTTTGATCAGGCTTTGCAGCCCCACCCTTTGTCTCGTGACAGGCTGGACCCAGCTCTGGTGCGCCCTGGCCGTGTGGATCTGAAGCAGTACGTGGGCCATTGCTCCCGCTGGCAGCTCGCCCGCATGTTCCAGCGCTTCTACCCCGAGCAGCCCCCGGCTGCAGCCCAGAACTTCGCAGAGCAGGCGCTGGCAGTCTCCAAAGAGATCAGCGCTGCCCAGGTGCAAGGCCACTTCATGCTTTACAAGACGGACCCTGAAGGAGCCACTTCAAACATAAGCTCCAGCCTCCTGTGACAGGGGCCAGCTTTCCCTTGTGACACTGAGAGGACTGGGACAAAGATTTGACCATCTTGGGGATGCCATGAAGCTGCCCACCTGCACAGGCCAGGTCTCTGTTCACATATGCCTTGGTTTTGGAGACTCAGAGCTGCCAGCCTCACAGCAAGGGAGGGAATCTGGCTCTTGCTGCTCCCCAGACTTGGGTGCTACTGCACCAGCCCTGCTCACCAGTGTGTGCCTCATATTGGGATTGCTGTAAACTACCAAGGCTCCTGGTGTGAATCCCCTTCCTTATGGGTCAGCCTCGAGGTGCCCCAAAAGGGCATTTCCTGTGGGCAGGACATTGGGGTTCTACACTGCTAAAAGCATCTGGTCTTTTTAAAGGACAGTGGTCTCACTGATTTATGAATATCCTCTGTGAAGTACACAACACAGCTCTTGTCTCTCTGGTTCGTTTTTCTGTTAGTTACCCCTCTAGCTGCTGGTCCACAGCCCTCCTGACTAGGGCCTGGTAGGGCCGGTACTGCAAATCCAGAGTGTTTCTGAAAAAAAGCAGCTCCTAAGAGACAACTCATTGTCCCTCAGGCTCCAGGCTGGTGCTGCTGGTCCTGCTGAGTTACAATGCCAAGCAACAGATGTGCTTGGATGTTGCTACTAGATGGCCTGACTGTCCTTCCCACCAAAGGAGATGTGTGGCCCTGGAGCTGTATGAGGGCAGATGAAAGGCCTTGGCCAGTTACAGCAGATCTTCTCAAGAGCTCTCCCCTTCCAGTCCCGTTTCCCCAGAGTCAGTCCTATGTTAATGTGGTCAGTTTGGGGGGTTTTATTACCTTGCTTGGGCTGGGGGAGTGGATTCCAAGCCAAACCCAAATTGTAGGTCACTGCTTAGCCCTCCTCTTGCCTCTGCCCTATGGGGCCAAGAGGACATGGCAATACACAGGGGCACAGTCAATGGAACCTGGATGGATTTTGGTGCAAATAGGCACTGCTTTAATGCAACCCCAGACTTGCACAGATATTTTTTGCAAGTGAAGGAGCAGGATGCTGCTGGTTGGCATCTCAAACCCTGCATTTGGCCATCCTGCAGAGGCTGGCTGCTCAGATCCAGCCTCTTCCCTCAAAGCTGGGGGTCAAAACTGGCCAGTGAGTGACTGGCAAATGTCCCACAGCAGTTTGGGAGGATGGGGAGTGTTTGGGGGGGAGACAGAGGGACCCGATGCCACCACACGCAACATCTCTTGCTGCTCGCTTTTAATCGTGTTAATGCTACAGATGCTGCCAGTGCCTTTCTGCCTGGCCTGAGGGCTTTTGCCAGTTAAGTCTCACAACAGCCTTGTGAGGTAGGTGAGTGACACAGGTGGACACCAAGCAAGGAGACCCAGGTCAACATGCAGGTTCTCTTCCTCCCTTCTGACCTGGAGATTTTGTTTGTTTATCCCAAATTCATTTCCACATACTGTTGCAAAATGCTCTCTGCTCCAGGCTGACAGCACTGAGTCAGAGAGGGCCCTTACTAAAGCACTGTTCCCAGGGAAAAATCCCTTCCCATTAACACATCTAGCATTTGATCAGTGTTATCCAAGTCCTCACTCTGATTTCCATGGCTGAATTCCCATGCTCCAAACATGGCACGACATGTCTGCTGAGAGTAATCCTGTCTCACCAGAGGAAACCAAGGAGCTTCAGCTGCTGTAAGGGGCAGAAATCTTCCATGTTTCTTTCAGGACACAATCAAATGCCTTTCTTGGAGCACAGCAGTTTCACCAGTGAAGGCAGGAGGCAGCAGAACAAGCACCAATTTCAGGTAAAGTTTGCACCTTTTCACCCAAGTGTGGGCAGGATATTCCCCCAGAAACCAGCTGAACAAGGACAGAGGGAGCACTGAAGGAAAATTAGGGCTCTCTTCAGGGCACGAGTGCTCAGCCCTCATCTGCAGGAAGGCACAACATCTGCCTCTCAGATCACCCAGCCCAGGACAGGTACTGTAGGCTCAGGCCAAGGAGGGAGAAAAAAAAAAAGAATGATTTTAAAGTATTAGGCTTGAAAATAGACCAGGTGATGGAAATTTAAGCACAGAAGGTTCTTGGGCAGCAGATTTAACCAACCCCTTTAGGTCAAGACCAGGCATGGAGTAAGCAGGGCAGCAGATGAAGAGTTCTCAGTCAAGAAAGGGGGTAGTGCAACTTTCATGTGTCAAAGCTCAGCCACACAGATGTACACTGGAAAATGCTCTCTTGGCATACACTGCTGTTGGTTTCCTGGGGATCTCACATCAAGTTCTGGCAAGTCCATTGTAGCACTGCTATTTTTGCAATTAGCAGAAGGAGGAAGACAGTAACAACCCACATGTGGGCACAAGAGGTGGGGGACAAGGCACAAACAAGTGTGAAGGAATCAGTATTGTCCAGGTGAGGCAGAGAGCTTAAACTAAGCCAGGCAAAGCAGGGATCCCTCCTGCCACTCAGGAGTGCCAGGGGAAGTTCTCTGCCTCAGCCCTGGTTGTAGGGAATAGGGAAAGAATTGAGAAATACCAGGGATCAACACCTTTCCTCCAAAAAGTGACAAACAGGAACAAGAGGGCAGAGGGAACAAAGGGAGCAGGCTCTGGAGAAGACCCAACAAATTAATTTAATAGCATTGCCCCACTTCAGAGGCCTGGGATCACTCTTCATGGCTTCTAAATGGGACATCTGTGGAGCAGCAGCAGATGTAACTGCACCAAGTTAGTTTAAAGAGCAAATCCTCATTTAAGCAATATCAGCTTGAAGATTACAGGAGGGTAAGCTGTATCCAAAATACTGGGGCATGTCTTCACTTCTGGGTTGTTAGAAGTGCTAAGAGACAGCCTGGCCTTGGAAGGGGATTCTGACACGTACAGGTTACAAAGCAGAGTACTCTCCTCTGAGGTTCCCCCAATCAGCTTCAGCCTGCACAGAAGCAGCTGAAAGACAGGGCAGAAGCTCCAGCTAAATATGGGCTTCCTGGAGATGCAGGAGCCAAGGTGAAGCCTTAGCCACCAGCCAGCCATGACCTGCCAATGTGTTGACTTAAGCTTAATTTGGGTGTCCTGGCTGGGACTGGGCAATGTTCTGTGTAATAAGGATTTGCCTGGCCAATCGCAGCAGTTGAAGAGATGCTCTGAGAAGTAGTGGGGGACAGAGCAAGTGGACCTGAGCTCCAAGATACTGCTCTGGCACTTGGCACCACCACAGCTCCACTGGCTTCCAGGGAAGGTCTTGCCATGCTTTGGCTCTGCCATGGCACCATGCTGAGCTCAGATGCTTTGCTCTGTAGGTGTGCATGTTTCTTGGCATTTCACTTACAGGGACAATAGCTGCAAGTCCCCAAAGCTACCTCTGTCTTCTGGGTGCTCTGAGACCAAGGCTGATACGATCTGTCAAGGTTCCAATGCTGGTAACAACCAGCTGCTCATGCCATGATGCTTTACACTGCACATACCCTGGTGACACTGCCTGTCCCATGTGCCATCTGACTCCTCCCTTCCAAGGGTACAGTATCTGCTTGCTACTGCTTCATCAGAGCCTTCATTATTCTCTCCAGAAACAGCCCTTTTTTTCCCCCAGCCCCTCATCATTCCTGCTAGGAGCCACTCTCCTTCTCAAGATGGGCTTCTCGATGTCCACTGGGCCTGAACGCCCCTCGCCCTCTTGGTGCTCTGGGGTAGGAACCACGCTCCTGAACTCTGGACGTCTCCCACCTTCCACAATCCCAGGGCCTATGGTGGCCCTGCCAGTTGGGGACAGCTTTGTGGTCACTGCGGTTGAACATCAGGTTCTCCTTTTTCCTGCCCCGGGCCTCAGTCCCCTCCTCTGTGCTCCATTTTTCCATGTCAAGGTGCTCCTCTTTCAAGTCCACAGTTTCTGCTGCTGGTGAGGGGTCTTCATGGCGCAGCTCCCTTCTTTCAGCCAAGGGAGCAGCCCTGCTTCTACTGGGAGGCTTTGAAAACTCCTGGCTGTGCCGTCCAGCAGGTCTATGCTCTGCTCTCTGGCTGAAGACCCTGGGCCCCCTGGAGCTGTGGAGTGGATGACAGGCTTCCTCTCCTGGTTCCTGCGAGCTACTGCACAGCTGCCTGCCCCGGCCTCTGGAGCCTGGCCTCTCCCCTCTGTACCTCTCCCTCTTGCTCAGCTGCTCTCTGGGCACAGCACACCTCTCAGGCTGCCCGGGTTCCACCCTGGCCTCTGACGCCCCCGCTGGCTCGGGAGCCGAGGCTTGGCTGGGCGGCTGGGGCACGTCCGCAGCACGGGCACTCACCGACAGCTCAGAGGCAGCGGCTGCTTGGCCTGTATCCACAGCAGCTGGAGGCTGAAAGAAAAAATCCACTGGTTAAGAAAAGGAGAGGGGTGTCCCACAGCAGATGACAGTGCTTGGTCCTGTAGCCCAGAGCCCCCTCAGAAGCTCTCTGCCCCCAGTGCCGTACCGCCTGGAGGCTGATGAAATATCGGTTCCTCTCTGCCTCAGGGTCGATGATTCCCCCTTTCTCTTGTTGTCTCTTGAAAATCAGGCGCAGTTCTTCCTGGTGCTGCAGCACCTTGGCATCTGGCCTGTATGGCTCCTGAGCAGAAGAAAGCAAGGCAAGGTAAGGGCTCTCTCAAGACCTAGCATGGGTAGGCAGTGGCAGGGCTGGGAGCTACTCCCCAAACCCTTCTTTGCACAGTGCCAGGCAGCCTGCTTCCTTCTGCCACACTGACCAGGTCTACAGATGAATGGGAAATCCCTGAACAGAAGCTGAGCATCCCAGTGCAGACCCACTGTTTCTGCAGTGTCTGCCTTGGGCCATCCTGCTGTGGGGCAGGATGCAGAGCAGCTGCTATCAGGTCACTCTCCTGACCTGATTGTTTCCCAGTGAGTGCAGGGATATTCCCCATGGCAGAATCACCTCTTCCTCAGCACATCTGCTCAACTCAGGGCTATCAAACGGAACCTGCTCTGTGAGCTGCCCTTTGAATAGCCAGTCTAGGAGGACCTGATAGAGAGTGTGCATGCATTACAATGTCCCAGCTGAAGCTACCCAGTGAGGAGGCACAGCTGGGTAGGTGAGCCCCCATCTCTTACCAGAGGGTGCTGCGGGGGCGGTGCTGCCTTCAGAGCACAGAGATCGTAAACCAGGGTCTCCCGGCAGACAGGGCACTGCACACCAACTTCCTGTGGAGAGGCAAGAGATGATAGCAAACCCTGTCTGTGATCCAGCTCATGCACTGCCCCATAACCCCACCCTGGAAGTGAAACAGGATTGTCTTCTTCACTCTTCTGCCAAGGTAAGGAAGCCCAGAGGGGTACCAGCAGCATGAAAGCAGCCTGGTGTCTCAACAACTGCTGTGGAAGGTGTCTCCATATAAGACATGCTGGGATTTGTGCTCCAGCAGCTGACTGCTTTACAAAGCACCCCTGTCAACACATATGGCTTCAGCCCGCAGCCTAGGATGTATTTTTTTCTGCTCCAAAGTGTAGTGTGTCATCAAGGCAGCACCTCTTTGGAAGGGTTTGTAGGAAGGAGCCTTTGATTGTTCCATACTCAGCTGTGCTGTCTGCTCTGCAGCTGACAACTGTTCCAACCCATGCTAGGCAGGTATTATCACCCCAAAACACAGGTGATTTGTGTTTACTCTGCTGCAACCCCCCACAGTTCAAGGACTAGGACTAGGGAAGGAGCGAGCCCTTTTTTCTAACTTCTGTGGTTGCAGAAGTCTAAAAATGCAACTGCCTTACCCCCTCACACAGCAGGCACTGACCCAGAGATTCAATAAACCAACTTGTTTGGTCAGAAAGGGCCCTTGGAGATAACTTAGTCTAATCCCTGTTGATTCTCAGCACAGGCGCCATGCGCCAAAGAGGGTGATACAAATGTTACAAGGGTCTGTGCAGGGGGCCAAGGAAGGAGGCCCAGTACCTGTTTAGGGGATGGTGCAAGGTGCTGCCCTCTCTCCTCTTGCTGCATGAGGATCTCCTCCTCCATGTGCTGGGCGTAGCGGGCCAGACAGTGGGAGTGGAAGTAGTGGTAGCACTGGGTCTTTGTGAAGGCTTCTTTTTCCTGTCAAGAGAAAAGGGCATCTTTGAAGGATTTCTATGCAAAGAGTTCTGCAACCACACAGTTGAGGTGGGTTTTCACTTCCATGTCAGTGGTATCCATTGGGAACTAGTGCTAGCAGAACCACCCAACATCATCTGTTGGGTTGCACCTCTACTCCTTCAGCAATTACTGGGATGTTGCTTCTTGTTTCAAATGTTAGAAACACTCCTAATGTCAATATGCAAAGATTTTATGACTGATTTCTCTGTATGTGTTCCTGTGTAACCAGCAATCTTCCCACTTGATGTGTTCGCCTTCCTAGGCAGGTGTTGACTTTCCTTGCAATCCGGTAAGGCCTGCTCCCCTGTCCCCACAGACCTTAGCACCTGCATGGGTATGTTCTAGTCCCTCCTGACTACCTGTGTGCTGAACTCAAGGTGAGGTGTAGCCAACACAGGGAAGCTGAAATGCATCACCAACTAGCCCCAGAGCCTACGCTTCCCTGGAAATGCTCCAGCATCTCTTGCTGCCCTACATCTATTTTCTGTAGAAGATTATCTAGAAGTTTATGGGAAGAGCAGCATGTATTGCACTAGGAAGGGCCCTGTGCAGAATGGGAGGCAGTGGGCTGCTGGTGTACATCTTGGTCCCAGGCTGATATCCCAGTGTCAGACTTCCTGTTCTCTTGCCTCACTTCCCAGTCAGTTTGTGGGGTCAGGAGACACATGCCTACCTGGAATCCATAGAGGCAGATTACACACTGTCCTTGAGGAATATTGTTGTCAGTGAGGATCTCCTTTCCCTTCTGTGAAAGCATCAAAGCAAACGTTTTACTACTGGCCTGCCCATGGGCCCAGGGATGTCCCACCCCTTGGGAAGTCAGGGATCAGTGTCTGTGGCTGGTCACACCCAATCTCCTCACTCTCACCTCGATCAGTTCATAGAGCACCTCTGTCCCCAGCCTGGCTTCAGCAACACTTCTGAGGGTCTGGGAAATCCTACAGCAAAGCAGCAGAAATCCTTAACACAAATTTAGACACACCTCTTCACTGTCCCACATACCTGCCATGATGACGGGAGGAAAAAAGGGAGCACTGGTCTTCAGGCTTTGCTTGGAGTACAGGATGGGCACACATGCACACACGTATTCATGTGCATTCCTGGCTCACCACAAAGCCAGTGTACAGGAAGCCTTAGTTATGACAGAACTTGCGGGAGCAGGTTTGCTGATAGCCTCAGCTTGAGCTCAACCAGCAACCTTTGATTTTGGTGAATCCCAGGTTTTGTTTACCTGACAGCAGCCCCTGAGGAGGTCTGTTGGGAGCCATGTCCTCTCGTACTACTAGCAGGCACCAAGGTCTCTGCACACATTCCACTGTGCCAAGGGCCAAAGCACAAATACAACAACGGGCTGCCCAAGGACTTGGATCAATCCCACATCTGTCAGGGCAGGACCAGCAACTTTCAAGGCCCCAGGGATTCAAATAACATTTGAGGGGAACCACAGGGTAATAACCACAAGGTGGACCTCTCTGTGTCAAATTCGGCACCAGCGGCTCCTGAGAGATTTAGGAACCTGTATCCATATGTTAACCAGACACAGGAAGTCATGTGAATTAGAGAAGGCTTGTCCATCAGTTCTCCCTCCTGAATCTCTGGAGGAAAGAATTGCCACTCACTTTTGAATTTGCTCATCTGACAGCCCCCGCGGATTCCTGATGGCGATCTCCGGAGCTTTATCAGGATACTAGGATAAAAGAGAAACAGCCAAAGCACAACAAGGAAGGTGGAGAGGCCCGAGGCTCGGAGGTGCAGGGGCGCGGGGGGCGCGGGCAGCCTACCTGCGGGGGCACGGAGAGCACCAGGGTGAAGCGCACGTACTGGGAGTCCTGGTCCTCGGCCGTGGCAGGGTGCAGGGTGATGCTGATCTCCCAGGGCTCCCACCTGCAGAAGGGGCAGGTCGGGGTGAGGAGGGCGGCGCGGGGCCGGGCCGGGGATGGGGAGCGCGGGACGTACCTGCCCAGGCCCCGCGCCACCTGCAGCTCCTCCAGGTAGATGGACTCCAGCACCTCCACCTCCGGCGGCAGCGCCCTGCGGGAACCGAGCAGGCGGGGTCAGACGGCTCGGCGGGCTGGGGGTGCGGGACAGCGCGGGTGCGGGGGCCGGGAAGGTGCGGGCACGTGGGAGGGCGCAGAGACCGGGGAAGGTTCGGGGGCTGTTACCAGTCCGTCGCCTCCGCCTCCCCAGCGGCCGCCGCCATCTCGCCGCCCGCCCGGAAGCGGAAGCGGCGAGCCGGTTGCCAGGAGACGCGGCGGCGGCGGGCCCGGGCGGCGGCGGAGCGGGGCGAGCTTCATCCCGCGGCGGGATCGCTGCCACCGCGGCGGGATCGCTGCCACCGCCGCTCGGGGCTCGTCCTGCCTTGGAGCCGGTGGGTAGGAGCAAAGCCTGGGGCGCGGGGGGACGACACTCGCCCGGGGTGCAGCCCCGCGAGAGGGGACGCGCTGCCCCTGGCTGGCCTCTTTGCCTCGCAGCTCAGCGGCCCCGTCCCGAGCGATGGAGAACTACCACATCCTGGGGCTGATCGGCGAAGGGTCCTTCGGGCGCGTGTACAAGGGGCGCCGGAAGCACAGCGCCCAGGTGAGGGGACAGGGCTGGGGCTCTGCTCTGTGTGGCCCGGGCTGATTTCTGGTGCCTCTCGGCTTCTAAGGCTCTGCCAGGATTTTGGAACTCGGCATTCATTCGGCTTTCTGCTGACGTTCCTGACCAGCTCCAGCTGGCACTAAGTCATCGGGGTTCAAGGGACGCCAGGAGCGACTTCAAGACCTCAAAGTAGAGCCAGCAGTAAATTTAGATCTTCTGAAACCCCCAAGATAAACGCCCCATAGCTGATGCCTGACTATTACTAGGATGAATCTGTTTAACTCTTATCAAATTGAACCTCCCTCCGTTTCAATTTGTAATTCCCGTGTCGTCCTCCCACATGTTTCAGTCCCCTCACCATCATGGGCCTCTCTGCTATACCCATTCCCTCCTATTGATGTTCTGGGCCAAAAACCTGGCCACAATATTCCCAACATGGTGCACTAGGTTAGAAAAAAAGGTCAGTAATCACTTTGCTGCAGTTCCTGCCTGTTGATACAGCCCAGGGTGCTGCTACTGTTCCTCATTTCCAGGGCACACTGCTGGCTCATGTTAGGCCCGCTATTCACCAGCATCTTGAGGTCCTGTCCCATGTTTCTGAAGTTTATCTGTGTTCACTGATTACATTTCTTTGCTTTAAATGCCAGTGTGAAAAGAGGTGGGAGCATCAGTATTGATGTGTAAGAGCCTAGGGAGACCCCTAGGTCCAAGGGCCCAGTGAACAAATGTCTGTTGTCTGTGTTCAGCTGGAACCCTGTTTGGGTTAAAAGCAGCCTTTGCCAGGGTGGGTCTGACCAGGAGTCTGGTCTGATCCCAGCTTTTCCTGCTTTGAAAGGTGGTGGCCTTGAAGTTCATCCCCAAGGTGGGGCGGTCTGAGAAGGAGCTGAAGAACCTGCAGCGGGAAATTGAGATTATGAGAGACCTCCATCACCCTAACATCATCCAGATGCTTGACAGCTTTGAGACTGCTAACGAGGTGAAGGGGATTACTCCAGGCAAAGACTTTTGCTTGACTGGGGCAGGGGAACAAGGACTGTCCCCTGCTGTTGTAGGGACATCTTTCTCAGGAGATACCGGTGACTTCATCCCAGGGTCTAGTTTGTGTTTTTTCAGAGCTCTTTAGTATGTGCCGTATGGGGAGGCAACACCTGTATGGGCTACACTAGGTCATATGCAGAGGTGAAGGAGCTGACCAGGGGCTGTGTGGTGCAGGAGGAATGGTTTGAGATCACAGGATGAGGGTCACTCTTCACTCATCAGTCTCTTCAGAGACTGGCTTTTCACTGATTTAAACTCACATGGATATAATATAATAAGAGAGGATTGAAGACTGTCCTGTAGCACATGGGAACGTGAAATAAAGTCATTGGACAGCATTCAAAACAAGCTCAAGGAGTGATTCTACCCACTGGGCTTGGCAGTTCCATTCTGGGTTTGTCTTGTCCTTCCCTCTTCCCTTGTTTTTGCTGGTTGAGATATGGACAGCTTCAAGATCTCTGCCAGCTATGGAAGCTCTCTTCCATTCCAAGTCCCAGCCCAAGCTGATGGACTTTACATGATGGCACACCAACACCTCCCTCAAATTTCTTACCCTGCTTTGTTCTGGTCCCCAGGGCCTGATCTCACCATATTGTTCTTCTCTCCAGGTGGTGGTAGTGACGAACTATGCAGAGGGAGACCTCTTCCAGATCCTGGAGGATGATGGGTGGTTGCCTGAGAGCAAGGTGTGTATCATTGCAGTGGCCATGCAGTATTTGCTGCAGTCTAGAGAAAACAGGACTTGCATGCCTGCAGGCAGAGGGTCTCTGCTGTGAGCCAGGAGTGTCAGGAGGGTGAGGGTGCCTCTGGGACTTTACCTGGCAGAGCTTCTGAAAAGGATCGAGAAGGGGCCAGGTTGGCATTGTGGGACAGTGGGGCCCTGCAGAGACCTCAGTTTCTCTGTTCCCTTTACAAGGGCCACAGCACTAGACTGCCATGGCTATTGGCCCACTCCAAGAAACTACTGGCCCACAGCTGGGGATGGTCCCTGCCCCAAACAGGACAAAAGTAGAAGTAGTGTGGGAGCCAGGCTGTAAGGGACCTAGCCGCTGTGGTTGTGCCAGCGGGTGGCACCATGGGACACAGGGTGAGGCTTCTGTGTCTCTGGCAGATCCAGACCATAGCTGCCCAGCTCATCTCTGCTCTCTATTACCTGCACTCCCACCGCATCCTGCACCGGGACATGAAACCCCAGAACATCCTGCTGGGCAAAGATGGTGTTGTCAAGCTCTGTGACTTTGGGTGAGTGCTGGAGGCCAGCTTGAGGGGAATGCTGGTGCTTGGAGCAGACAAGGGGTTTCCTGAGTGCTGTAGAAGAGGAGTGGGGGAGTGCGGAAGGGGGCCTGGGTTCTGTGCATATTTAGAAATCAGGCAGAGAGGGGAGATTTTGTCCTCCAGAGGAGGATAAACTCATAGGGAGCTCCCTAAGATCTGCAACCGATGTTTCAGCCTGAACTTGAGATCTGTACTTTGCTCTGAGCAGGTTTGCCCGTGCCATGAGCATCCACACCATGGTGCTGACATCCATCAAGGGCACCCCGCTGTACATGTCCCCTGAGCTGCTGGAAGAACGGCCGTATGACCACACAGCAGACCTGTGGTCTGTGGGCTGCATCCTGTATGAGCTGTTTGTGGGCACTCCTCCCTTCTACACCAACAGCATCTTCCATCTTGTCAGCCTCATCCTCAAGGAGCCTGTCAAATGGCCTGAGGCCATGAGCCCAGTGTTCAAGGTAAGGGCCGAGGCCCTGTCTGCAGGGTGAGGTCTGTTAATGCAGTTTTGGCCTCACCTGCTGCCCTGGTGGGTCACTCTTAGGTTTTATGTCCCCTAACAGGGACTTCAGAACACAGAAAAGCTGTGTGAATGAGAGCTGGACCTCCTGGAATGGGAATCCTTATCACTGTTATCAAATGTCTGCTGTCCATAAGCTGGGAAACTGGGTCCAACAGCAGAGTTTATTGGGTTGCGAAGGGAAATGTCTTGCCATCTGCCCTAAGCACTAGAGCTACTCCTTTCCCAGAGCTAGGCAGGAAAGGCAGGCCTCCTGGGTGCCCTCAGTGAGGGAGACTGGTGGGTACACTATGCTCACTGGCGGGTGCTGAACATGTGTCAGTGATCCTGCTGCTCCGCTGCTCTGCAGAGCTTCCTTCAGGGATTACTAATGAAGAACCCCCGCGAGCGCCTGTCATGGCCAGAGCTACTTTCTCACCCCTTCATTGCTGGATGGGTTACTGGTAAGTACTTACTACTTTTCCAAAACTGTCCAGGTCTGTTTCCTTCTACTACTGTCTGGAGACTGGGAGGACCTCCCTGCCCTGCTATTTTTCACTATCCTGGTCTATGCCTCTCTCCTCTCAGCTTTTTCCAAGCACTGACTCCTAGCTCCTGCTCCTGGTCTTGCTCTGGGTTCCTTAGGATTCCCCTGGGATCTCAAGAATGATCACACTCTCAAGAGAGAGCTGCTGCTGAAGTTCTCCTCTTGCCTCCCTAGTGATTGATGACACAGAAAAGCATGGGATTTCAAACCCCTTTGCCATCAAGTTATCTCCAGAGCTGCAGGCCCTGAAGGAGCAGCAAGTACATTCCATGGCCCCCAGGAGCAGCCAGTCCAGGATCTTGAGAAAGGCCCAGAAGAAGATGGTTGAAGAGACACAGAAAAAGGTGGAGTAAAGTGTGAGGTTCCTCATGCTATGTCTCACAGTCAAAGCAAAGGAAGGACAACTGAAGTGGGCCCTGGGGGAAAACACATGAGTACATGGGTCAGGCTGGGGTGTCAGCAAACAACAAGGCAGGATGTGGAGTGCTTATGGTAGTGGAATCTAGAGGACTCATCTGACTGAGTAACCCTGCCCTGACCAAACTTCTTTGCCATCACCAGGGGCAACCGAAGACAGGTGATGCATCTATGAAGGTTTCTGCCAATGGACACCCCACACATAGTCCCAGAGCAGCATCACGGAAAGCAGCCCCTGAGGAGAGGGAGCCATTGGCTGCCTCCAATGAGAAGAATCCATGTCTCCTGCAAGGAAAGAGCAGCAGAGCAGAGGGGGAGTCTGAGGAGTCTCCTCCTATCCCAGGGAGAGAGAGGCACAGGCTGGGAGACAAGGAAGAGGGAAAGGAAAGGTCTTTCACTGACTGTACTGTTTCCTTGGCCAGGCAGCACGGCCTCTCTCAAGACTGTGAGTGGGAGTTGCTTGGAGCAGGTTCCCCTCCACAGCCTGGTGCTGGCAGGGCAGAGCCCTGCAGCAGGCACAGCACCGAGGCTATGGACCTGGAGAGTGAGGTAAGGTGGTGTCTTGAGTGTGGACAGCAGGGCCCAGTTTCCAGGGGCTGGTACAGAGACCCTGGGACTGGCAGGTTCTGTGGCACCAGTCCTCTCTCTTCTGTGGCTAGGAGTTGGAGAGTGATGAGGAGTGGCAGCACCTGATTGAGGACACTGAGCCCTCAGCCATGCAGCTGAGCGTGCCTCGGAGCCTCCTGAGGGACTCGGCTTTCCAGCACCGTGTCCAGGACTGCCTGGCAGACTCTGCTCAGCAGGTAAATGATGGCTGGCCCAGGCAACTAAGACTGGAGACCTGGATGCTGCCTTCTTTGTCAAGATTAGGTTGGAAACATGGAGAATCCTCAGCCCAGCCAGCAAAAAGGTCCTCTGCTTCTCCGGGAGTTGGAGCTGTCTTTGTGCACTTGGCTTGCCATCTGCTCCTCTGCTGTCCCCTGCCTGAATGGGTTGAAGGGCTGCTTCATGGCTGGTGGAGACACCAAAATTGCTGCTCATTATAAGCTCTTCTGGCTTCTCTGTGTCCAGGTGCTGGAAGGGATGCTGGAGGGAGCCTCCCATCTTCGTTCTGTGCTTCGTGTTATTGGCAACCTCCTGTCTACCCGGTGTGATGCTGAGCTGCTGGACCACTTCTGCCAAGAGCTAAATGTGCCTCTGTCCCTGCTGTGTCTAGCCAAGCAGATCCTGGAAAGTGGTGTAACCAAGCAGGTGAGTGTAGAACCCCAGGGAAATGTGGGCGCCTGCAGAGTGCTGGTGCTGAGGAGGCCCTGGTGTCCTGCTGGACCTGGTTCCTCTTTCAGGCACCCTTGAGAAGGGGGAGGTTCTGGTAGGGAAGGATCCTGTCGTAGAGTTGTGGGGATGGCCAGCAGACAATCCCCATTTATGGTTTCTTTCTGGATTCTGCAGCAGCCCTGGTGTATTGCTGTGCTGACAGACCTCCTCATGGTGACCAAAGTTTGTTTCAGTAGCCTAGAGGAGAGTGGGCAAAAAGACAGGTAGGGAAAACCTCCTGTTCCCTGAGGTCTTGTGTGGTCACTTTGGGGACATGGCAGTAAGTGGAAGGGTGGTGTTCATACTCTGCAGCTGGAGTTGTCTCTGTGGGGAAGCATCATGGTCTAAGCGCTTCATGCCGTATTTCTGTGCTCACAGAGGAGCATTAGCCTTGAATGGGATTAATTCAAGGAAAGGCACAGTTGACAAGTCCAGTTGTGCTGCCTGCTGGCAGCAGCTCACAGTGTGTGTGCTGCCTGCTCCATTAGCCAGGGCCATGTGGGCCTGTCCTCAAAGCAAGGGGCCATGTTTCTCTGCACTCATCTGCCCTTGCTGCCCCCCACAGCCTTCAGGCTGTCCAGGAGAGTGCTGACTGCTTCCTGGCCCTGCTGCCGGAGCTGCTGGCTGTGCCAGTCGACAGTGAGATGAAACTCTGCCAGCAAAGCCTCCTGGTAAGGGTGCCCCCATCTCCCTCCTCCACACCCTCTTCCCCCAGGGACAGAAGCTATGTGGTTGTCAGTATATGTTTTGGGAATGCAGCCTGAGGACCCTGCTCCTAACTATGGGGTCTGATGTGTTCTTGTCAGGGCAGGCTGTCTTCACCCACTGGGGCTTTTGCAGAGAATTGCATACAAAAAATAAGGTCTCTGAGGGAGCACCTTTCCTGGCCTTACCATTCTAGTGTGGCTTTACTGGCTGAGCTGATGGCAGGTGCAGCCCCTTGTACACACTCTGGAACAAAAAGTGTCACTTCACCAGACATACCCCTGGCTCTGCTGCCCAGAGTTCTGCTGCTGGGATTGTGCTGGGTGGGCACAGCGGGGTCTCAGCATTGGAGTATGATTCACACATGGCTTGGGCAGGAGATGCATACAGGCATTTGATATCTAGCCTTTGTTTTCAAGCTGCATATTTTAGTACCAGAGTCAGTAAGAGCAAAAATAGCTCTTGGGCATGCTCTGCCAGGCTGTGATAGAGATGAGGAGGGACATGTGCCTCCATGGTACACCCTCACTTCAGCAGCATGCAGCCAGATGTGGATCCCATACAGAAACCTGTCCGGAGTGGACATTTGGAGTTCCCTGAAGTTCCAGCATGAGTCCTTCTCCCATCCCTGCTGTCCTCCCACAGCTTCCTCCTGTGCTGTCCTTTTCTTTCCTCTCAAACTCAGTCTGCAGTAATGGCAACCCCTGTGTCTTCCCCAGTGCTTTACCCAGCTCTGTGAGAGCCTGGACATGACAGACACCTCTATCTCTGCACACTTCTACACCAAGCTGCAAGACGAGCATCAGCCCCTGCTGAACAGACTCCTTCAAGGATCCATCTCAGAGCAGCCTGCTCTTCGAGGTAGCAGTGGTAGCAGCTCGCCACCTCTTCCTGGGGTTTCTCCTCCTTCCTGCCCTTGGGCTCCATCAGAGCTCTGATAGCCATTGTAGTGCTGTTGGCCAGGAGAGGGCTGAAACTTACCTGTCCAGACCCCTGCTGACTTAGGCTCTCTTCCCTCAATCCCAGATTGCACCCTCCTTATGTCACAAGCCTGACTTTTTCTCTCTTGCCATCCAACCCTACACTGCTGCCCCTCAGCACCTTTAGCACAATGACTCCCCAGCTCTGTCCCTGTGCAGGTGCAGCAGTGGAAGCCAAGTCAGGCCATGACCAGAGCCCAGGTGTGGCAGACCTCTTCCTGGCTGCATTGGCTGCTGCATGCAGCATGCCCCTGGAGAGAAACAGCTGTCGGGAAGCCAAGCAGCAGGTCAGACCAGCTCTCTGTACAGGGTGACGAGGTGTGGTCTTCATAGGGGCAGCAGCCCTTTGTAGGAGGATCTCTTTCTCAACAGTAGAGTGGAGGGCTGGGATCCTCTGGCTTTATTGGCTGCAGGGCTCATATTTGTGGGCTGCACCTCCCCAGCCAACAGCTGACCTTAGGAATCCTTAGGAATGTAAGGATTCTTGAATCAATTAAGAAACTCAAACTTAGGATCTGAACTGTGAAATGGGCTAGTAAAGAACTAGGTAATGTAGGGAAAACATGAAGAATTCTTTTATTACAGTGATATGAACTGGAAGAAATAGGAAATTGAAGGGTCAGTAAGAGGGAAAACAATTACAGGCTTAAATTTGATTCTTTAACGAGGGAAGTCAACAAGGAGGGAAGCAGAGGAGAAATCTTACCTTGTTCATCTCAACTCTGGGACTGTGCATCAAAGCCATGCTAGGTCATGGCAGATAGGCATCCCTTAGTAGACATAGGCAAGATGGAGGAAGCAGATGCTTTCTTTCATTAAATTGTTGCTAGCATTAAACTCTTCTAGTCTGGGCAGTGCTTCAGGTGCCCAGAGTGCAAAACAGGCTGATTCCTACAGGTTGCTCACACATTAGCTGAAAAGCTTATGGAAGGAGAGAGCCAGCAGCTTGCAAGACTGCTGGGGAGACTGGAGGACCCAGGCTGCTCCTTGAATGTCCTGAAGGTAATGGTCCCGTCCTTTTATCTGGCTCTGCCCAGAGGTGCCCAGGCTTTTGCTCTGAGATTAGGAGCATGTCAAAGAGGGAACTGTGACCTTAGCCTTCAATGGCTCCCATCTGCCTGGTGTCAATTGTTGAGTAAATGAACTTACGGTAGCCATGGGGTGGAACCTATCTATAGGGGCTGGTGCCATCTCTTCCCTCTGCCTTGCAGATCCTCTATGCTGGCTGCCATGCCTACCCGAACCTGTGCCAGCACCTGGGAAGGAGCCAGCCTCTGTGGGGTTCCCTCATGCAGCTCTTGAAGGGTGAGGTAGGACTGACCACAGCCCTGGTGCAGGGGTAGGAGTGTGGGCAAGCAGGATGCATTCCTCAGCACTGATCAGATGAATCTATAGTGGGGGTAGGAGTTTAGGGGAGTTCAATCTGAAGGGTACAGTTATCCTCCAGGGCCCTGAAACACCTCCTTCTCCCCTGCTGTGACTTTTGTTCCTTTGGTAGGTCCCTGTGGTGGAGGTGACTCAGGAGGCAGCCTGTGAAGCCTCTCTGTACCTGCTGGCCCTGCTCACTCTGCAGCTTCAAGCATCCCCTCCCAGGTAAGCAGACACTTTCACTCATGGTGGGAAAGGAACATGCCCTGCTCCGAACAGCACTCTGTCCTGAACACTGCCCAGAGCTGGGAACCTGGTCTCAGCTGATCCCTCTGATCCAGACATACCAGCAGAATGCTGGGCAGTGTGGGTGGGTGCTGGGGATGTGGTGAGGATGACCCAGTGCAGACAAGGAGGTGCTGTGAACCAGGGCTCCTCCTGAAACGCTGCTGCTTCCCAGCCATGTGGGTATTTGGATGCTGCTGTTCTGCATGATGTGAAGCTGTGAGAACATAGTGCTTTTCTCCTAGTCCTTGCATTTCAGGTGTGAAGAGATGGTTGCCCTTGCTGTGGATCTCATCACCCAGTCTCCTGCTGTGTCCCTTGTGGTAAGCCACCCCCCTCTGCCAGAGCCACTACTGAGAGCCTTGCAGACCCCTGCATCCCATTTGGGCCTTACTGTTCTTCACTCAGAGTGGGATGAAGCCAAGGGATGAAGGGTCTATAGTTACTGAGCAGATGGGAAAGTCCCAAAGGTGCTGAATTCTCCTTGTCCCACAGGGTGCTTCAGCATTTCTCCTGGCACAGCTCAGTCAGCATGGGATGCCTTTGGAGCTCAAGAGAGAAAAGATCCTACCAGTGGTAACAAATGCGCTGACTGCACCTGCTGAGGTATGGGATGGGGACAGGGAAGCTGGGGACCCATGCATACCCCACTGTAGAAGTGCAAAGATGGTCTCAGAAGGGTACAAATGTGATGCTGCTGCCCTCAAGCCCAGCACCCAGTTTCAGACTGTCTCCCACTGTCTTACAGCTGCAGCTCCCCCTGCCAATGGGTGCTGGTCTCTATGATGGGTTCTTTTTCCTCCTGCTGAAACTCCTTGAACAGGTACCAGTCTAGCCATCTCCTTTGCCTGGTTCCTGCCAAAAGGTGTGGTGGCAAAAAGGCCTGAATGCACATTGGTAACAAGGCTGAGGGAAACCAGGATCTGTGCAGTTTTGGCTGCACAACTCCATGAAAGTCACCTTGTGTCCCTGCAGGGCTGATGGGAGAGTGGTGGGTGGGGAGAGGTGATCCCTGGGCACACTGGAGTGAAGGAGGGCAGAGATGCCCTGGGACTGACACTACTGAAAGTGCAGCAGGACTGTTTACATGCCTGTAGACCATGTCTGTCTTGCCCTGACCTTCAGAGGACCATGGGACTGGCAGAGCCATGTATCAGAACCCTGGGGAGCCATGGAGTACCATGATGGCCTCTGACATCTGCCTCTCTGCCTCTAGGACGATGTGGTCTTGGAGCAGGGCTTTGCTTCCTCCGAGCTATGGAGCCTGGTCTGGCATTGTGTTGCTGTGGCGCTTCATGTGGACACCAACGGAGCAGCGCTGGAGGGAGACCTACCCCCAGCTGCTGGTCACCCCATAGCAGAGCCAGACTGGAACCTCCTCTCCCCTAAAGGTAGGATCTGTGGGACAGCAGAGCATCTGCCCTGGACCCTGCTTGACATCCTGCCCTCAGACTTGCCTATGTCTGTCCCTCTCCACATCTGTTCCCTGTGACCAGAGAACTCAGATGATTTTACTTGAGGACTGCAGTGTCTTCTGGGGAGAGAGGGCTGGGCTGGCCCATACTGTGCCCAGTTGGCAGCAGCTCAGCTGAGCTGGCTGTGGAGGAAGAAAAAAGGATGTCTATGCTGCAGGGAATGTCCGCTCTGGCAGATGCAGACCACCTGGGTGGACATTTTCTGAGTTTGGGCACAGAATCTCAGAATCTACCCTGGAACAGCCTTGAGGTAGCACAGACAGAAGTGAAGGAACTTTACAGCCTTCTCTAGCTTTGCCCTACTGCCTGCTGTTTCCCCTGCAGGAACCCTGTTATTCCTCAGCCTGGTCCTCAGCATCTTCACTCGTGAGTCCCACCAGTGTCTGCCTCAGCTCACCCAGTCCCATGGTGTCCTCATGCTGACACTGAAGAGACTACTGTCCCCTGGCTTCTTGGCATGCGTGGAACAGATGTGAGTTGTGGCAAGAGCTGAAATGGGCAGAGCTCAGCTGCTGAATGGGGCATGGACATGAGCACACCAAGGGCTGAGAAGTTCCTGACCTGGCACTTAAAGAGCCTCTCCTTCGTGGCTGGCATGGGGAATGCCCTTTGCCCCTTGCCCAGAGGTTTTTCTGATAATTTGTCTATTAAGCCCTCTCTCTTTCACAAATTCAGGCAAACAGGAAAGGATGGGGACCCTGAGGTTGTCCCAAATGTGGTCATCCGGGTCTGCCAGCTCCTCTCTTTGCCTTTTGCCCTGGATGTGGATGAAGACACCTTAGCACTGATATTGGAGGCTGTGAGAGATATGCAGATCCCTGCCCAGCTGCTGCAGGTACTCTCTTGGCCCTGTGTTCCTCCTTTCCCCCATACTGTGGTGACCCCTCCCTACATTGCAGTCCCCAGTGCATGGCACCACTTCACATCATGTTGGCAGCCCACACAAGGATGTAATTTGGGTGCTATGCAGCCCTTGGAAAAGCTTGACTGACTGCTAAGCTTGTGCTGACCTGCTGGCTGCCTTCAGCTGCTGTTTGGCTTGGCTCAGCTCACACTGAGCGCGGTGCACTCAGCAGTGCCGTTTGTCCTTTTGCCTTAGGTCTGCGCTTACCATCTGCCCTTCTCATTCACCGAGCTCCCCATGGGCCTCTTGTGCCAGCTTGTGGTGTCTGATACACAGGTCATAGACCAAGTGGTGAGGGAAGCTACTGCCTCAGAGCGCATTGTTGCCTTCTTGAAGTCTGTCTTGTTCTCAGACAATGTCATACTCACAAATGACCTCCTGTCTATCTTGACCCACGTGGCCCGGGCCTGTTCAGAGCACCTGCCCTTTCTCCAGAGGATCCGGAGGGACCCAGATGTGTCTGACCAGCCATTGACCTACTTGCTCAGCCACAAGCAACACCTGATACGGGCCAGAACCTGCAACTTGCTGGGCAATCTGTTCCGCCACAGCCTTTCCCCAGTGCTGCAGAGACAGCCGGGTTGGCTGGAGAGGCTGCTGGAGTGCCTGTCGGACCCGGAGATCTGCGTGCGCGGAGCAGCCACCTTTGCAGTGGGCAATGCTGCCTGCCACGTGTCTTGCCCGGCAGGGGCCCTGGGCAGGGCCGTGCCCGCGCTGACCCGGCTGCTGAGCGACTCGCGGGCCCAGACATGCTGCAACGCGGCCCTGGCCCTGAGCAACCTGGGCCAGCGCGGGGAGGAGCTGCGGGATCTGCTGATCCAGAACAGGGTCCCCGACCTCCTGCTGCAGCTGGCCTGCCAGGACCCGCGGAAGACAGTGCGGGAGGGAGTTCTGGAGGCACTGCTAGCCCTCAGCCAGCACGCCGGGATCCAACAGGTACCGCACGGGCTCGGCTTCTTGGGGGACCTGACGGAGTTGTGGGGACAAGGGTCAAGCTGGTGGGTGACTCCTGTCCCTCTCTTGGCTGTGCAGGTCCTGCTGTCCCTCAAAGCCACCGAGAGGCTGGCGGCGCTGGGCCCTGTCAGTCCCCGATCGCCTTCTGCCCGGCACCGCGACCTGCTCCTCCGCCGCCTCGCAGCTCTGCCCGACCACGCGGGGCCCGGCCCGCTGTCGCCGCCTACCGGCGCTGAGCGGTGATGCCCGGGCATGCTGGGACGCCACCGACGCTTCCTTCACCCTCCTCAGGCTCCAGGCGGCCCTTCCCTGCAGCCCGCGTTGTCCGCCTGAGCGGGACTGTAGCCGGCCGTGTTTCCCCCGCGGGAAGCCGGCCCTGGCAAATGCCCGCTCCTTCTGGAACCGCGCGGTTCCCGCCGCGCCGCCAGGGGGCAGTGCGGCCCCGCGCGGTGGCTGCCGGGAGCTGTAGTCACGTGGGCCCGCCGGCTCCCCATGGTAACGGCGGCGGCGGGCCCGGGCGGGCGGTGAGTATGGCGGAGCGGGGCACTGCTCCCCGTCTGCCTCCCTGGGCTGCGCCCTCAGAGTTCCCCCTCTGGCACCTAGGGCCCTTGTCCCCCCCGCGCTGCCTCCCCGGCCGCTCCGCCCCATAGCAGTGCCCGAGGAGGCGCCTCGCTTCGGCCCGGGCCCCCTCGCCGTGCCCGGTGAGCCCGTGGGGCCGGGGCGCGGTTCGGGAGCGCTCTGTGCGAGACGTGGCTGGGGTTGGCGGCCTGGGCGGCGCTCCGGCGCCAGGATAGAGCATCTCGGTGGCACCTTCGGCGTCAAAGGCTTTCACTTGGAGAAGTGAGACACACAGCAGCGAGCGGCAGGGAGGAAGGGCTGGCTCCCCAGCCACCCACGGCCCCAGGGGGCTTCTCCAACCTTACTTGGAGTATTAGGATGGAGCTGGGATCGACCAGGCCCGGGTGGGGTGCCGGGACATCTTGGCTGTCCATCCTTTCATTGGGGTCTTGGCTTGGCTGCTCTTGTGTTGTAAAAACGAGCCGTTGAGTCTGAAAGATGAAAGAGGTGAGTTGAGACAAGCCCGGAGTATTTCCTGAATGCCTCCAGGGTTTGGTCAGGGAGTGAGGAGTGAAGGTGTGGGGAAGCCCTGTGGCACTGTGCCAGCCTCCTGTGCAGCTGGGCTGTGGCTGTCTCATGGGAGGCAGAGTTCTGCCCCACAGCTACACATCAAACCCTGTCTACTTGACCCTCCGAGGCTTGTCTTTCTTATTGTGGTGGTGTCCTCGTGGAATGGGCAGATGACATCTAGTGACTCCTGGATAGTTCGGGGGAATTTACAGTGGATTGCTGGCCTTATTATAGTTTTATAGAATAATAGTTCCACAATTTTTACTGTTTGTACTCAGCAGATAGTAGCATTTGTCTGTCCTTTTGTTGCTCTCTTGCTGCATTTGTTTTGTGTTAGGTAAAGTTCTTTGATGACAATTGCCCCCTCCCACACCTCAGTGGAGGGGTCCTTCTCAGGACAGCAGGGATTGCATTTCAAGGAGAGCTGAGGGGACAAATGTCACCATCCCCACAGAACAGCGCCTGCGTGGAGATGTCAGATCACTGACAGGCTGGGGGCATTGGCTGCTGTACCAGCCTGGCTGGGTGCCACTCCTTGACATTTCCCAGGTTCCTGCCATGCATCAAGTCTGGGAGTATTTGGCAGCTTCTCACCTTGAGTCTGTTTCTTCTCCACTCCTGAGCCCTGAGAAATTGCTGTATGGAGTGAGGGTTTTGCAGTGGCTTCAGAAGAACTTTTCCCAGCCCTGTCAGGACATGGAAGAGTCCTCAGCACATACTGAAGGACAAATCTGGAACCTTTTCTTCTGATTGCAGTTATGTTTCAGTATAAAGTATCAATAACAGAAGGAGGACTAAGAAATTGTGTGTTTTGAATTAATTGGGTAGTTCTTGTCTCCTTGCTATGTGTTGATATTTTATATTTGTTTCACTCACTCCAAATCCTCCACTTTTATTTTTCTACTAAATGCCAGTCTGTCTTAAGATCAGATGGAGCTGTGCTGACTGCCCTCAGATCCTGCACTGGTGGCCAAACTTCCCAGGTCTTGCCATGTAATTCTCTTTTCTCCCGTCATGAAGCTCAGTTGAAAATGCTGTCCCTTCAGTTTGGATCTTCAGGAATGGACTGTAGACCTTCTTGATGAAAGGATGTTAAACACCTCATGGTTTAGCTTGTTGCTTTTAACCCAGACTTGTTTCTCTACTCTTGTTTATGCTGCAGTACAACTGCTTCTGTTGCCCATGTGATAAAAAAGTACAAATCAGGTGGGAGCAAGGCACTCAGCAGCTTCAGTGCTGGGGAAACAGAGCTGCATGATCTGCTGTTACTGTGCACTGCATCTGCTTCAGGGTCTGGGGAGTCTGCCAGGGAGAAAAGTTGATATCCTTTGATAGCAGTAGGAACTCCATGTCTGCCCTTTGCTGTGGCCCCTGCACTGTCTACTCACAGCCAGGTCAGCCCTTCTGGGGTGAGTACTGAGCCAGCCCTTTATTTTAAGTGTCCTTGGTGCACTCAAGCTATAGCCTTGGATTTTCTGCCTGCTGTGCCAGAGTTCCTCACCTCGTCTGGCAGCTGTGCTTCAATGCCCTTAGAGTGGTGGGGAAGTCCCTTGTGAAGTCGAACACATGAGCCTTCAGTCCCCAGCCCACTCTGCATGGACAGAGGCATTTGCTGCAGCACAGGGTGAGATGGTGGCTGGATTGCAGCTCTCCCATGGCTTGCTTTAGCATCCTGCTGTCCCTGAGGTTTGCCTCCGCCTTGGGAAGAGGAGCACACACCTGAGCTACTCTATTTCTCTTGCAGGGCAGTGCTCTGCTTAAGTAAAGGGTTGTTTCAGGCAGCCATACACACTCCTCATACTTCCTCTATTCAGTGTGGAGTGGAGTTCAGCACCACAGCTGATGAATGAAAACAACCAGCCCTGGCACAAATGTAATCGTGGGATGCAGGTGGAATTTGCTGATGCATCCTCACAGAGTTTGATTTCTCAACCTCTGGTTTTCTGTTTTGTTTGGGTTTTTTTTGGTGGTTTTTTTTTGTTGTTTTTTTTTTTTTGTTTTTTTTTTGGTTTTTTTTTTTGTTTTTTTTTTTAACCTGGGTGGCCTGGCAAAAACTTGACATCTTGATTGAGACAGAAATTGGTTGTCATCCTCTGGATTTGCACACAAAAATGTGGTTCTGCAAGGATGATAATGAAGCTGAGAGGGAGCAGTGATGCTTAATTGTGTGGCAAAGCAGCACACCAGGCTGATGCACCCAACAGCATTTCTGCGGTGGCCCAACTGCCTCTGAGCTGTGTCCTCATGGACAAATTGTGGCCAGCAACACCCTCTGCCCTTCAGCTTGAACTTGCTGGTGGCCTCAGGTGCTTTGGCTTGGTGTGTGACTGCCCTTGAGGCCACTAGTTTCTTGGAACTGGTGTAGGGGAGGGAGGGTTGTTTCCATGCTGTTGGAACACAATAAGCTATGAGCTGTTGGAGCACTTTAGGCACTCAGTTGGTTTCAGGTGAATGTTGTTGATCTTGTTTAAAGTTTTAAATTTTTCGAAGGGATACAAACACTTATTTTTAAATGCATATTTGTTTTAAAACCCATTTGTTTTGCATTGTTAACTTGCTTGTTCAAGCTTTAATCAAAATTCCCAGAGTTGCAAGTGAGGAACTTCATGTAAACTCGGGTCTTGTTTAGAAAAAGATGTTATCCTTTCTAATAAAGAACAGAACAGAATATGCACCCTGGAATGGCATAGAAAACAACAGCAATTGCAGTTGTCTAATCTCTCCTCCTTGTGATTTTAAGCTGTGTGTGACTGACAACACATTATCAGGTCAGCTTGCAGTGCATACATTTACAAGCTCTTGTTATTTTAAGTGTGTCACCAATCTGCAAACTTGGTGACATACTTAAAACGTGTCCAATTTTTTGTCCAAATGTTTGTCCACAGCCAAACTCTTCTAACAGTGGGATGATGTGCATACCTGGGCTCTTGAGGTCTTGTCCTTTCCTGTTTGGAACAGGACTGTGAGGAGCTGCCACGCTGCCATTAGAGGAACACATGCTGCAGCCGGCTCAGGCTGGAAGAAAGGATTTTGCCTGATGCATACTGGGGTGCACAGAGGCTGGGGCACATGTTGGCCCTCTGCTTTTGTGATGTCACATTTGTACAGGCTGTGGCAGTGTTCCAGCTGACGTCCCAACACTTGTGAGCAAGCTGTGTGGCAATAAAAGGTGCTGGCAGAATAATTGCAAGCAAGTGCAGCTGTACAGTCACTCCAACAGTGTCCAATGGTGACAGCTTTGGCCTCTGTGTTGCGTGTCAATAAGTCCAAGCCAAAATCTATTAATTACTTGGTGGGGTTTGAATTCCAGCCCGGCCAGTTCACCCAAGGCTTTTCCTAGCTCGTGTTTCTACAATAAAATTTCAAAATTTTATTGCCATTGTGAGATGAAGAATAGACTCCGGCTCCTTTCTCATAAAGTTGGGTTGGCAGAACTAGGGATTGCATCAAGCTGTGACCTTTGTCCATCCCAAAATTCCAGCTGAATTAAACATAAAGGGAAAACTTACCTGCTGGTAACCAGCAGGGATTTACCCTGGGGGAGGTGACATTGTTCCTGCCCACAGCTACAGAGATGTGGCAGCTGCTGTCCTGTTGTGACCACAGCCTGGCTTGTGAAGGTGCCTCCCTCCATCTCCATCAGGTCTCCTGGATGCTCAGCAGCTGCTTTGTCAAGCTGTCCTTGCAGTAAGGACGGGAGACAATTTTCAAGTGGACATTAGAGTTGGCTGTGCTGGCATGCAGGAGGTGTGAATGGGGGGAAGGACAGGCAGCATGGACTGGTGCTATCAGTCTGGATGCATCCTGACCTGCCTCCTGTGAGGGCATCTTCCTTTTATCCTTCGTGCCCCTCCTGCCCCTATCTCTGAGCTCCTGTGTCTCCACAGGAAAACAGTGATGGTGACTAGCTGTTGGCCATGCTAGGCCTTACCTGAAAGCTGTACTAAAGTCCCTGCAGCTTTCTTACGCAGCCACTGCTTCCTGCACGCCCCTCCCCTGTGCCAGCCCAGATGCTTCTGCAACTCCATGACAAAACTGCTCCAGAGAGGGGCAAGATCAGCACATCTTTGTCTGCTACTATGGGGCTGTGTTCCAGGCAGTGTTAGCTAAGGCTGTGCCATGGCCAGACCTCCACCCTGGCAGCCACAGCTGTCAGCAGCACCCCCACATCTGTGTCAGTCACATTTGTGCTACCATTGTCACTTACTCCAGATCAGGGTCACACAGGACTTCTGCTGGCATTTTTACACCTGTGTATAAGCTGACTGTAAGATTCACGGCCCTTGTTACAGCTTCATTAGGCCACATCACTTTTATTTTTACAGCAAGATGATCCACTGATAGCTGTAAAGCCGTGTGGAGATGAGGTACAGATGGCTTTCACTTCAGGCTGGTTGTACAAGGTCGTTCACAGCCGTGTGAGAGTGCAGGCGATGGCCAAACTGGCAGCTAAGGTGGTTCTGCCACAGTGACAGACTCTCTAACCAAGAACACTCATTCTCCTTGGATTTTAATTTGCTGTTTAACACCTATGTTCACTGGTGTGCTGGGGTCACTGTGGTCCGAGTGTGCTTGTGAGCTGGGGGGAGCTGCATGAGCCAAAGCAAGCTTCACTCCCTTGTTTACTGGTGGAAATTTGAGCTGGGCAGGTGGCGGCATCTGAGCCACTGCTTCTTCGCTCTGTGCTAATCGCTGTGAATGTCACAACACAGCCTGGTTTGCTGCTGGAGGCAGATTGGGTAGCAATGGAATAGTGTTGTACATCTCAGTTGTGGAATTCTCTTCTCTGGGGCTTGGAGCCCCTCTAGGCTGCAGCTCCCATGGGGATGCAGGTGCCCTGTCCTCATCAGGAGTTCTCAGCTTGACTGTACCAGTGCTAACAAGCAATGCAGCTATATGGGCGTTGAATGGACTTGGCACTTTCCATATTTCCTTGCAGAGCTTGCCAGGGTAGCAGCTCTCCTTGAGGATGTGTAGCTCCTATGGGATACTGCATGGGATGTTCCATCTCCTACATTCTCTGGCTGAGATGCTGCTGACCTGGTATCTGCTGGAGACTGGAGCTGATTCACAGGTTGAGAAGGTCTGGCAGGTGTAGGCCTGTCTGACCCAGCCCTGTGGTGGTGTGAGCTGCTGTGATGGTGCTACAGAGCAACCTCAGGGTCTCCAAGCTACACTTTAACTGCTGCATCTGAGGCTTGTCTTTCAGGTGAGAGAGTGTGTATGTATATGGCAAGAAAAGGAAGAGTGTGATGCTTGATTCACTGTTTATCCTTCATTTTATACCTTTTTTTTTTTTTTTTTTAACATGCAAGCATGTGAGAACTGGAAGGTGGAAGAACCAGCCAGCCTGCTTGGAATACAAATTCCTATCACAGCTGTATCCAGGGGCCCTCCAGGCATGTGTTAAAGCAATAACTAGCTAGTGGTTTGTTTTCTCTTTTCCCTTCTCCTCAGGCAAGAGGATGTTGCAGGTATGGTGTAATAATTAATTCTGGGAAGATTCAGGACACTTATATCTGCAGCTCTGTGGTCTTCTAGTTTGTTCCTTGTGGGAGACTTTTCTGAAGGACTGCAGTAGGGAGAAATGTATGTGCACAGTACTACCAGTCTCTGCTGGAAACAGAGGTGTTGATGTTAGAACAGCCCTGCATTTGATTCTTGCTGCCTTCTCAGTCCTGAGCTCTATAGGAAGCCTTTAGCCCTCACTAAGCTTTTCTACAAGAGTGAGAAGCATGTTCCTTTTAAAAGCAAGGACTGAGGTTCTCATGTAGTTGTGTAATGTACTGAGCTGAAGCTTTAAGAAGCAGGGAGAAAAAATAAGCAGATGTTTTGGCATTTGTGGTGGAGTCAGGAGCTGATGTTGGAGACACAGAGCTGTAGGAGTGGGCTCCAGCTGCCATGTGGATCCTGGGCAGGCAGCCTCTTGTTGGAGACAGGGTGACTGTGCTGGAGCTGCTACCCCGTGGCCCTGGCTGGTAGTCAGGCACTCCTGTGTGTTTGCAGGTTACAAGCTTTCCTGCAGATGGCTCTCTTTACATTGTTCTTTGCATCCTCTGGTTTCATGTGAGATGCCAGCCATTCTTTGACTTGGTCTCAAGAAATTCTTGGTGAGCTCAGTAAATGGGAGATGTGGTTTTTCATCCTGCAGCTCACCCTGCTTTCCTCATAAGTGTTAGGCTGGGTGCTGTTCCCTGACAGGACAACAGTGTCTTTCATGCTCTACTTTTGTTTCAGGCCAGCAAAGATGCTGCTGTAGATGACTGACTGTGCCTCAAGGGCTATGGCTCTACATGGCGTCTGCAGGACCAGACCATGCTAATCTGGGCCCCAAACAGCAGAAGAGCATTGGGCTGGAGTCAGGCAGCCTTCCGGCAGAGAGACCTCGGCCGTGCTGGCCCTGGCTCCTCACTCAACAGCAGGCAAAACCCGTCTGGAATTTAGAGAAGAGATATGCGAGTGCTTTCCAGGATCGCATCCTGCTGCCCTCATGGATCCCTCTGCAGCAGTCCTGCTTCTTGCACTCACCATCACTGTGCCATGCACAGCCCACTGAAGACAGCCTCCAAAGCCCTCCAGACACTGGCTCTGCCACGGGAAGGGTGATGTCTTCCCTGCTGATGAAACCCTGCCTGGTGGCAGAGGAGCGCTCTGGAGCTGGGGTCAAAGGCTCTGCCCTCAGCTCAGGTCAGCAGGCTGCCAGCTTCTGTAGGCCAGTGCTCAATAACAACTCATTCCTACAGCCAAGCAGTGCTAAAGTGCCTTTTCTGCAGCCACTGAAGATTAAAAAGGCGGAAAACACCCCGAGTTTTCCTGCTGCTTCACGGTCCCACTCTGGGGACAGTAGAGACAGCTTCCCTAGCAGCCTGATCAACAGGGCAGTGATGAACAGCAATGTTGTGTCAGAGGAAAACAAAATCCCCTCCCGTACCCCTGTGGCAAGCAGTGCGATCCTCAGGAAGGATCAGTGCTCATTGGAAGGTGCTAAGGGGAGACTTCACAGCTCAAAAGAGAAGGAACAGGACAAGAGCCTCTTGAAGGCTGTGCAGCAGCTACCTAGTCAGGCTGCCACACACAGAGGCTTTGGGTGCCAAGTCAAAAGTTCTGGCCTTATGAATGTGGGCAGCCTGTCGAACCAGAGCAGCAGGAGGAGGCAGCATGCCAGAGTGCAGATCACCCAGAAAGAAACCATTTCTCCCCTGAACTTGGAGCTGGGGAGCCATCGCCTTAACAGCAACTCGAACCTTACGGGCACCTGTGATGCTGCTGCCCGCACTGAGCGGATCAGTGTCTGTCCCTTGGCCTCGCGTGCTGGCACTCCTGACTGCAGCACCGGCTGCTGTCCCGTGGGTATGCTGAGCCCTCTGTGTGCCGGGGACCACCTGGCAAGAGCAGAGCCTCTGCACTTTGCTGCCATCTCTGAAGTGGCAGCACAGGTGTCCACCATCCAACTGGAAGAAGAAGAGAAACGGGCCCAGGCTGTGGTCTCAGGAAAGCTTAAGTAAGTAGAGGCAGGAGGAGGAGGGAGGTTGTGGCAGGATGTGCCAGGCTGGCTTGTTGTGTCTGCATGTGCTGGGAGAGGATGACTGTGGGTAGTACAAGGTGGCCATACGGATAACCATGGGCTATGTCCCTGAGCAAAACCCAACTGCAGCATCCTTGTGGGTGGGACCTTCCTGCAACCCCCAGCTTGATGCAGGCACTCAGGATGGCTCCAGGCTGTTCCCACCTTCTCCTTCAACCACAGCATGGAATTACTGTGTGGCATTTCTAGTTTGTTCTCCTCAGCTGGGGGGCCCTGCCTGCAGTGGAAAGCTCTACAGATATGTTGAATGAACCCTGCGGTTGAACGAGGCCTTCCTAGTCAGAGACATAGGTTCATAAAAGAACACAGAGCTAATACAGGATAGAGAGGGTGTGAGGACATGAAGCTCCTGCTCTCCTGCTGGGAGAGGGTGTCCTTTTTCTTCTTCTTTCTAGCTGCTCTGGAACATGTTCCTTCTCAGCACAGTCTGGGGCCTCTCAATTTTGCTAGCTTAGGATGAGTGCTTGTAAATCAGCACTGGAGAGGGCAGTGCCCTCATTCTCCAGCCCACATTATCTCATGCTGCCCCATGGGCTTCTGGGTTTTTGGCCCCAGAAAACATGTGCCATTCCTTTGATGTGATGTCCTTTGTCCCAGTGCTACTGCTGAGAAGTCACTGCTGGAGCTGAGCCATCCCCAGGATGAAGCAGAGGAAGAACTTCCTGATGGCCTGGATGAGAGCTGCAGTCAAGAGGAGTATGAGGACAGTGAGTGCTGGTACCTCAGGGAGGGCTGTGCTCCATGCCTCAATGTGGGGAGTGCAAGAGCTGTCTGGGAGCTGGGGGTCAGCACAGCTGCCCTCCTGT